GAAGCCAAAGTGAACGACTTGGCACAGCAATTGACACAACTCGATTTAGAGAGAAGTCGTAACGTTTAAAAAACAATAGCGGCAAACCTCACCAAGTCGAATGGTTTGTATGAAACCTACACTTAAGAGAATAATACTAATGGTTTCTAAAGTGTAATTTTTATTAAATAGCAACTTATTATAGTATAATATTATATATATATCGACCGTTAGCTGTGAAACTATAAAAAAATATTTAATTTTTAAACAATATAGATAATGTCATAAGTGGAATTATAAGGAGTCATGGATAAACTCTTCAATGCAATAATTTTACTTTATAATTTCAGGACCAAGTTATTTACGATTCCAATCAGTTTCTATGTTAAATGTAGATCCCTCAGGCTATAAACTTTATTCTGGTTATCTGTACTTTTGCAAAATATTTTGTTATTTCCCAAAGCAAAAAACAAAGAGCAAAATTCAATTCAAAAAGCAAAAAACGTCAACAATTCAAGCCATTTATAAACATGTTAATATTGAATATAAAATAGAAATATTCTAAAATTATATTTGGGTTCATCTTTTTAAGTGTATCTACAAGAAAGTATAGATAAGCTCATTTCAAAATTTCGAGTGTGAAGAACAAAGCTCCTCTATATTAAATTTAACGAGGATGCCGCTTATAAAGTCAAAGGCTGTGAACAAAGAAGATGCTCATATACCGAAGTTACCATATTTTGTTTGTTTGTATATTTGGTTACGCTTTAGTTGACAGTCAAGGAAAACGGTGGCATTCAGTTGAATGGAAAAAAACTTCGCAGCAGAAAATACTATATCACCATTACTGTATTGAATATAGCCGCCTGGCTCGTTCAATAATATGATAAGCTTAGACATTTAGACAGCCATTGGCTTTACTTAAGAGGTTTATTCCCAACGTGAACGGTAACCGAATCCGACTGTCTCAGCTTCAAACGAAAGTAAAAGAACAACTCTGGGAAAATTTACAATAAATTGGTAGAAAAGGTGTAAATTGCAAAACACTGAACGCAAGTTCAGGCAGTTGTTTGCATGGCGGTATTCCATATCCACTACGTGTATGAATAACTTTATACATATGTATGTACATGTAAAAAAAAGTACATGTAGAAAAATCGAGGCGTAAGTCTCAAATCGAAATCTCAATCTCTCATCTAAAATTTATAAAAAAAAAAAAAAATGGGACTATGTCTTTTCTAGCCCCGCTTGTGATTTCGTCCATTCGGATGACTTGTCCTAGCCAACGTAGCCGCTGTCTCTTAATTCGCTGAATTATGTCAATCTACCTTATATCTCGCACAGCTCATCGTTCCATCATCGAGTAAGATACTTGCCGTTGCCAACGCGCAAAGGACCACAAATCATCTGCAGAACCTTTCTCTCGTAAACTCGTAACGTTGACTCACCAGATGTTGCCATCGTCCATGCCTCTACATCATATAGTAGAGCGGGAATAATGACTTACAGTTTGGTACTTTTTCATTGAGAGAGAACTTTACTTCTCAATTCTTACTCTGTCTAAAGTAGCAACTGTTGGCAAAAGTCATTGTTGTAGGTGTTAATACTACAGAACTAACGGCGCGGATGTTGAGGCCAATAGGGCATCAGCTGCACACTCTTATAAAAGATTGTGCCTTCTCGATTCAGCTCTGYAGCTCGAATTATTTTTCCAGTAATAGATTGAAGAAGTCYCACGTTGAAGAGTCGTCTTGTCTGAAACCTCACATGATATCGAACGGCTCRGAGAAGTCTTCCCCGGGATATCAAATTCAGAGATAGCGGTATAAAGGCAGCTCCTTTTTGTGCTGTTAAAATCAGCTTTRAAAGCAACAAAGAAGTGATRTGTGTCAGTTCTTTTTTCACGGGTCTTTTCCAAGAAATGACGCATTCTAAATATCTGGTCAGTTGTTGATTTTCCAGGCCTAAAGCCACACTGATAAACTTAATCAGTTTGTTGAAGACGGTTGTAATATTTCACACATTGCGCTCGATAGAACATTATATGCGATGTTGAGAAGGCTTATCCCACGGTAGTTGGCGCAGATTGTGGGGTCTCCCTTTTTATGGATGGGGCAGAGCACACTTAAATTMMAATCGTTGGGTATGCTTTTGTCCGACCATATTTTACRTAGAAGCTGCCGCTTTTTCAGTTTTTCGCCGCCATATTTGAATAGCTGAGCCTGCAATCCATTGTCTGCCTAGCATTGTTATTCTTCAGACGGRAAAATGCTACTCGGACTTCTTTATGGTCGGGCAAATGGAACATATTTTCGATGGTCATCGATTGGGTAATCGGATTTACCATATCCAGGAGTTATGCTTTCATTGCTTCTCAGCTGGCTGGAAAAATTGTAGTATGCTTGGGCACCAGTCACTAGATCACCTCTGKGAGTTCTTCAAGAGTCTGTTCTAGTCTTGAAAGCATTACCCCTGTCGGCCAGCTTGTCAAATACGTCTCGCTTCCCTCTTCATATCTCGGTATCTACCCCATCCCGCACTTGTTGTGATCGATTCTAATGTTGTGGTGTAGGCAGTACTCTTCACTACGACACGCCACTCGTCACCGTATCAGCTGTTTTTTACATTTCCCGAAAACCAATAAATACTTTTGCGAGTAACTTGGCTTAAACAACTTAGTGGTCCGAGTCGATATTAMGACTTCGGAGCACGTCTAAAACACTGGAGACGTCTATCATAACAGGATCGATCTTAATGACTTTTGCTATGCTGGAATCTGATACTACAGATAACCATATTTGTGACCCCGGCGAAGTCGATCAGCCTCAACCCATTTGGGGATAGCTGAATTTACGACCGTTACGCCAAAGATAAATTTGCGCACCTTAGCAAATGCTACATGGATCCTTTGTTTTAATCCTTGTCCTGCCCATCGCCGCCTTTATTTTTACGAAAACATCAACCACCTGGGCAGCGGCACCTTGTCAATTAAAGGACCGGCCAGGTGCATGCTCTCAAATCGTTATCCTTAATGCGTTTGCCGTTTCGTTTTTTATCTTCATTTTGACGTTTTTTTTTCGAGGCGGTTCCCAAACCTAACTCACAACCCTGGGGATGTTTGGTTTGCCTTCTCACTTTAGTTCGCCTTCAAACGGATGTTATTTGGCTACCCAGAGGGTACTTGGTCTAAGACCGGAAGTCGTGAGTTCCTTGAGCCAATATGTAAAATAATCGTTTCTGGCCACTCCCAAGTGAACGGCAACCAACAAACTTTCTTCACTTGCGTGAACTTCTACACTTGTCTCCATCCTCCGTTACTCTAATATAGTTGATGATTAAAGTATAGTGCTGATGGTTGGTAATCGGCCAACGGCCCATACTTTCCACTAAACCCCAAATATCTAATTTAAAATGTTTCAATGAAYATTATGTACTTCGAAGCCTTAAATGAACGTAGACCTATTTACATAATGTTTTTCGTCTGTCTTATTACCGTAGCTGCCCTCAATCTGTCTGTGAAATTACGCAATAAAATTGAGCACTAAAATAAGCAAAATCCAATTCCATATTTGCTCATGCGACAACYTGCAATTTTATATAAATATGTTTATGAAAACTAGCACACGGTAAAATATGTCCTTAATATCATAAATAAATGCCTACTTGAAGAGAGTACGATTACAAGAGTGCTCGATATTTTTATACTCTTCCAACCAGGTAGAAAGAGTTTTGTTCACCCAACAGTTTCAAGTATTACTTAGATATAGGGTTATAACTGAGCGAGATAGATATAGGGTTATATATATACGTACGCCCGTCCGTCCGTCCGTCCGTTTATTGAAATSCCATATCACGGGACCCGACAAACCGATTTTGACAAAATTTAGTACGTRACATTCTTCTTATACACTTGACAATCCTCTATGCCACATTGTAAAAATGGATGAAATCGGACAACAACCACSCCTATTTGCCATATAGCACAATTTTAAATTCCATTTGATTCGTTGAGTTTCCAGTAGACAAGTTAAGAAGCAATTAATAGAACGAGATAAAACTTTCTTTGGTGTGTTCTACCTTTCAATRAAAACTGCTCAAGACCTACGTACCGAATATTTAAACTCCGTTACCTATGGTTGTCTCTTCAACGAAAATGTCGCTAAATTTGTGATATATTTAGCTGAAATTAAGGGATAATTCTTATCTTACAAATATATGTCTGTATGTGAGAAATGAGTTGAATCGAACCAATACTTCCTTAGCCCCCATATACTTCATATAAAGATTTTCGRGCTTCTGGGTGCCTTTGTTCGGCATATGTATATCGGTCAATATGTGAGTTATCCAAATGAAAATGATGAGCGTGTTTCACTCATAACATGTATATTTGCGTCTAAAATAAATCATTTTCAGCGAAAACTTCGCCTATCCCCTAACTAWTATGAGGATTTTCGAATATCCGGCTGACTTTACTCTATATGATTGGTTTTACTCCTTAAAGTATTTCCCTGGCTTTGATTCTTGCAAGTTGCAAGAGTACAAAATTGGGACAACTTCCACTATCATAATAAATACTAAATTTATTTAATCCCAATGGGCAAGGGTATACTGTACTATAGAAGTTTTAAATTAGTGCGCTCAACGTGGTTGATGGTCTTACTCACATACACCTAGTACATACATATGTATCTCTATATCGTGATCGTTACAATATATATTCGTTTATTTCTCGGCTAGCGAACAGCAGATGGCGTTAAAGGACAGTTCTATTCTGCATAATGCTTATGCGATTTTTGTACCCACGAAGTTTGTAAGCTAAGTCAGTATAGCTATGTCCGTCCATCTGTCTGTAATTTTTCAAACATCTTTTTCTTTTCAAGAGGCTGCTCATCAGTTAAATTTTTAGATTTAGTCACACATATGTATGTATAGTCGAATTATTCAAATATGTGAAGTATTCAACAAACATACCATTTATTACATGATTGTAAATGCAACTGACTTTTTTATTTCTCTTTTAGAATAATTTCTTAGAGATTTGGATGAGTGGACCAGGAAAATAAATTCAAGCCTCTAATAAAACTCACAGGTGAGATTTCACGAGCATACTCTTTTTACCTAATATAATGTTAGCAGACGGGAGTCGATAATTTATGAGACCAGAATAAAATAACAGTTAGAYGCAATTCATTTAAAAATAAAGAGCAAATAACAAAAAGTAAGTGGAAAAGAGTAGGGCTGTTTGAGTTTTTAAGGGTAACAAACGGAAAATTCAATAAAATATACTAATAAATGTGTTATATATCTAAATAGCTGACACTTAGACTATTATAGGATTAACAAATGACCCTTTAGGGTTAAGCAAGATGAAATAAAACGCATATTAAATATTTAATCTATCCCATTATTTCAAAATGATTCCAGGCAAGTGACTGATGTAAAAAATCGTGGAGAAAAGGCCGGCTAGTTATTTTTCTAATGAAATAATTTTGTTCGTTTACACAAATGTTTACAGCTACTTTTTCCCACCATTGAAATTTTGAAAACTATAACTCTAAAATTGTTCATATTTGCTTCAAAAAAAAWATATATTTTTTATTAAAAAAATGTCTGAATATAAACCTTGAATGAAATTACCCGTAATATTATATATCATATTCCGTAATTTTAAAAGGTTAGTGCGAATTTAAATATAAAAAATTGTTATTTTCTTCTTTAGCATATGAATTAGTACGTTTTTGGTTACCATTAAATATTTTTCAAAATACCTAAACACATTGTGAATGCTAAAGAATTAACACTATGTCAAATTACCATATTCCAAAATTGCCAAGTAAAAGAGAAATCTTTGCATCTACACGCATGCGCCTTGCACCTTGTAAGCCTGACAAGAAAACAACCTTCAGTCGTCCATTACCGATATTCACCAGCGCAACGTCAGGTTGGCGTATGGACACTAAAAATTGGMTGCGCCTGTTCTGTTACTGGGCCTGCGCTTGTCATCGAACCAATTGACAATTCAATTGACAGTAAACAAGCGATTGCTGCACTAAACGCTTTCGTTTTAAGTATAATCCAAATAAGATGTTAAAATTGCATACCAAATACCAGCATTGCTTGACGTAGACAGTTTACTTTATACCAGTAAGCATACTTCGTATTGTAGATGTGCGCATTGCAGCATATAACTGACGACAAAACGAGCGAGCCACAGTTGTACACAATATTACAAACGCCAACGGATAACAATTCGTAAAACAAAACCAAGTAAATGAGCGAAGGAAAACATTAATTTAGCTTTGTGCGCCGAGGGGCAAGATCAGCTCTACGAACATGGAACGCAAATATCATGGTATTGCCTGCAATTCGCCAAGTTGAAACAAAACAAGCACACTAAATGATTAAATACGCTAATATATATACATACATATATGTGTAAATATGTTCATACATATACAATATCATCACTGAAGTCAAGATTCTTACGTCCATATAAATATACTCACTTTAAAGCAAAATCTACCAGCAACATCATCTTATAATACTAAATATTTCTACACTGTGTTCCGTATATACAACAATTTGTGGAAAGAAATCGGTAACTCGAACAAATCTAAGGAATATGTTATGAGTRTAGTTATGACCTCTTTTCAGATGAGGTGAGAAAAACTGAAACTAACACCTTCTTGCATTCTCTCTTCWTCTTTTTCTATTATATGTTCTCATATATCCCAAAAATCTGTAATTGTGGAAACTCATAATATAACGGTTAATAATATAATATCATCAGAAGGTTTCAGATAGCTTGTTTCTAATCTACTTGAGTTGATATCCACTATTCAGAAAAGAGAAAAGCTATGAGGGATATCAAATTTGTGCCCACTATGACCGGTACTGTGTTGSGACTTTCTGTTTCGACCGTTTTATTTCATTGCACCATGCAAGCTACTAAGATACATTACTTAAAGTGCGTTTCAAAGCTGGTAAAAAACTTTTAGAGAAGTGCGTGCGCATTGAAATGAATCGTCAAGATAATAAACGCGCACATGCGCAACATATACGCCGACCATTGTGATTGTTTACCTCTAACTCTTCTCTCTGCATACTCGATAGTTCAGTGTCTAAGCTGTGAGCAGTGTTTTGGTGGCCGTGGTCACGCACACTAAAATTAAGTAGCTGGTTTTCAACCGGTAGACAGGATAAGAGAAACGCAAGTTGCCACGAAACTTAATATATCTTGACCGCATCTGTTTAATTTCTTTGTTCCCACTCCTTATATTTTACTTTACCAAACAAAAAAATACTAATAACAACACAGAAGACACAATTCTGGCGCATGCAAATACGATGTTTCGTTGCACAACAAGCTTGGTATACATTGATGTCGATGTKGAGAACGATGACAGCTGAATGACTCTCGTTCTAGAAGCATCTGCCTAATGTTAGGTTCTCATTGAAACACTATGACTCCTTTCATCGATAATAAGAAAGGTTTATAATAAAATATTTCAAAAKTGTCTTAATATCGCAGTATATATCTCATTGATCACTTCCCACGGCAAAACCAGTACATTTAAATTGGTTACTTACTATTTAAAACTAATAATTTCACTTGCATTACATTGTTCTGTTTTCATAATTTTTATTTTAAACATATTTTAAGTCATAAATTTAGAACTCCTAAACCATGTGATAATCCTATTTCGTTTTGGTTTCTAATCGTAAATAATCGAATTGATATTACTCCACTATTCCATATATGCTGCCCCAACATATTATGCATTCCGAACCTATRAGGCTAAGTTAAGATGCAGTAAATCTTCTTCTTCTTAATTGGCGTATACACCGCTTACGCGATTATAGCCGAGTTAACAACAGCGCGCCAGTCGTTTCT